TTATACTCTACCCTACTCTATTCTAATTCTATTCTATTCTACATTCTGTTCCGTTCTATTCCATATTCCTCTCTGTTCTGTTCCACAGGAGAGGCCACACGTTGTGCACACTGAGCTTTATCCGAAATCATGCGCTGCCTTTTGCACCGTTTTGCCACATCGTGTTCAAACTCTTCTCATAAATATTTGTCGGTTTTCTTTTTTCCACTCCCCCAAACCAGGCATCATTGGCGGGTTAACCAGCGTGATCACCTCGACGGTGGAAGGGGTGAAAACCGAAGGGGGAGTTAGCGGCTTCATGTCCGGTCTCGGTAAAGGACTTGTTGGGACGTTAACCAAGCCGGTGGCCGGAGCCCTGGACTTCGCCTCGGAGACCGCCCAAGCCGTCCGAGAGACAGCCACGCTGACCGGCCCCAGGTGAGTCAAACCGGTGGAGTCGGCTTCCATCCGGCGTCATCCTGCAAGCCGTTCTGGACTCATTTAGTGACCATTCGAAGTTACAACAGCACTGAGGTTTTTTTTTTTTGGCAGCGTCTCCGGGGGTCCCGTGATCAAAAATCGGACCCTTGGCGACGGACTCGTATTTATGACGGTCCCCTTTGGCGACCATTCTGACTGGTAAAGTCATTGGGGAAGCCAGATTCACTTAACAGACGGGTCACTGCTTTAACACCTTGCAGCGATAACCACCGCGGCAAGAAAGGGTCGTAAAATGGGGCAAATCTCACTTCACCAACGTCTCGCTTAAGGACAGAAATATTGGCCTCGATCGTGGTTGTGAGGGCTACTTGTATTAGATACGTTCAGCCCTTTGAGTTGTTTATGAAACTAACATAACGTCAAATAACAGACAGCAGATAATCAGAGTTGGAAGGGACCTTGTAGGTCATCTAGTCCAACCCCGCCCCCCCCCCACCGCCCATGCAGGAGACCCCACACAATTTCGTAGCATAATGTAACATAACAACATAGTATAAATAATAATTGTGGGCTAGAAACAAGCACACAAACAGAGATCTAAGATCCTGGCTAGAATGCTGGCTTTGCTTCCGGGGGAGAAAGTGCGGTTTGGAGTGGAACTTGGCTTGGAAATTCCCTGACATCATGTCTGTGAGAGAATTCCCACGCCTAGAGAGCTGGGTGTGTCTCTACACAGCAGAGGGGTGGTTGTTGATTTTTTTTTCCAACTCGTCCACTTTAAGATGGGTGGACTTCAGCTCCCAGAATCCCCCAGCCAGCCAGAGATTCCTCTACGGAGGAACGACCTTGAATGACAAGAAGGACCGGGGAGGGGACGTGATGTCAGTCATCCAATATTTGAGGGGCTGCCCCCAAAACGAAGATGGGGGGGGGTCCACCTATTCTCCAAACAAGGCAGGACGGGAAGCGACGGATGGAAAACTGATCAAGGGGAGAGAAGCAACTTAGGAGGAATTTCCTGTCGGGGGGAACAACCGTTCATCAGTGGAACTGCTTGCCACTAGAAGTTGAAGGGTGCTTCCGTCACTGGAGGCTTTTAAGAAGAGACCGGACAGCCATTGGTCTAAAATGGTATGGGGTTGGACTAGAAGACCTCCAAGGTCCCTGTTAGTCTGTGAACTCCGCTATTCTGCTTTCTGAAAAATAGACCGCCATATTGCAAGCGCACCCACGCCATCTCCAAGGAAGAAGCGGGGGGGGGGAACTTTAGAATAAGAATAATAATGGAGATATTATTCAGATAAGAATGGAGGTCTTATAAGACCGGGCAGCCGTTTGTCCGGAAATGCTATAGGGTCGGTCTCCAGAGGGTTGGTCTGGATGACCTCCAAGGCTCCTTCCAGCTCCGTTCCTCTGAACCCAGCAGTCGAAAGGTGCCTTGACTTTGCCTGTTGCTTCAACAAGCTTCCACCCTTCTCCCTCCCTCTTCCAGAACCAAGCCAAAAGAAAAAAGAGAGAGAGAGAGAGGGAGAAAATGTACCGCAAATGTCTTTTTCTTGTGTTTGGCTGAACTCTGGATACTCCCTTCCTCTCCTGAGCCCAAAATAATCCATTTCTCATTCTGGTGTCACTTATGTAAAGGCTCTTAAAGAAAAGAATGAAAGAAAGTCTTTCTTTCTTTCTTTCTTTCTTTCTTTCTTTCTTTCTTTCTTTCTTTCTTTCTTTCTTTCTTTCTTTCTTTCTTTCTTTCTTTC